GATTTGCAACGTCTTTGCAAACAAGAAGAGGATCAGCCATGTCCAAGTTTCTGTCTGTCTTGTGGGAGGTGGTACTTACTACCTCTGCTGCTTCATCAGGAAACTCTGCTTTGTCCACCATGGAGCCCATATGCTATGTAATGGTGCCATTACCAAAAGAAAGTCAAAGTGGTATGTGCATTTGGTCATCTCCCTGTGAAATGGTGGACACTGCTAAGCAAGCTTAATTCCAGTGTTCCTGGCACCACACGATCTGTAGGCACCCGTCTTACCCTGCACAGCCCCTTTGAGGGCACAGACGAACCTTACTACCTGATCTAGAATAGTTGAAGATACATTTCTTCAGCGTTTGAATGCTCAGTGGCTGTATGTCTAGTCCTCTGCAAGTACTTGGGCCACCCAGACTTTTGTCCAGGATGCTGTCTGACTTCCCTAGAAGGGCTATAGTGTCCAGAGACTGAAGGAAATTGTCCTGGTTTCAGCTAGGATAGAGTTAATTTTCACAAGAAGCTGGCAGGGGACACAGCCAGGACAGCTGACCCAAACTAGCCAAAGGGATATTCCATACCATACAACATCATGCTCAGCATAAAAGGGGGCTAGTTGGGGAGGGGTGGCGCAGCTCCAAGACCAGCTCCAGGACAGTTGTCTGATTGTCGTTGTCTGGTTGTTGGGTCAGTAAATTGCATTGTGTATCACCCATTTTGTATATTCTAAGTTTGTTGTTGTTATTTCCCTCTCCCTTTGCTGTCCCAGTAAACTGTCCTTATCCCAACCCACAAAGTTTTGCCTTCATCTTCCCATTCTCCTCCCCATCCCACTGGGGGGGGAGGGGTGAGCAAGCAGCTGCTGCTGGCTGAGACTAAACCACAGCAGTCCTGTAGTCTTGTTTGGCGCCCAGCGTGGGGCTTGAAGGCTTGAAATTACAACAGATCTGACCAGAGCATGTTAAAACAAAGTTGTTATAATATTATTTAAACAGTCACTGGTCACAATGGTGTCTTGTTTGCTGGGCTGGATGTTCAAAGGGAGGGTCTCCTCTACACATCATGCAACTGATGCTACGTGAAGTATGTGGGTCGCACTGATCACACAGCAGGCTCAAATAGGAAACCCTAATCGCCCAGGAATTATGGAAGTGATCATGGACTGGCCAGAAGGCAAACATTTCAGAATTTCCAGAGGAAGAGGTTGATGTGTGCTGAAGAGGCCCCGCTGTATAATAAACTGCCAGAAAATGAGAAGCCATATGCCCCATTCACTGATGGATCCTGTCGCATTGTGGGAAGGCATCGGAGGTGGAAGGCTGCTGTATGGAATTCTACATGATGAGTTGCAGAAGCTGCTGAAGGAGAAGGTGAATCCGGTCAGTTTGTGGAAGTGGAAGCCATCCAGCTGGCTTTAGACATTGCTGATCGAGAAAAGTGGATGATGCTCTACCTCTGTACTGACTCATGGATGGTGGCAAATGCCCTGGAGGATGATTACAGCAACGGAAGCAGAGCAACTGGCAGCGCAGAGACAAACCCATCTGGGCTGCTGCATTGTGGCAAGATATTGCTGCCTGACTAGAGATGCTGGCTGTAAAAGTACATCATGTAGATGCTCACGCACCCAAGAGTCAGGCCACTGAGGAACATCAAAACAACCAGCAGGTGGATCAGGCTGCTAAGATTGAAGTGGCTCAGGTGGATCTGGACTGGCAACATAAGTGTGAATTATTTATAGCTCGCTGGGCCCACGACACATCAGGCTATCATATAGATGGGCTCATGATTGAGGGGTAGACTTCACCATGGATGCCATATCACAGGTTATCCATGAATGTAAAACATGCGTTGCAATCAAGCAAGCCAAGTGGTTAAAGCCTCTGTGGTATGGAGGACAATGGCTGAAATATAAATATGGGGAGGCATGGCAGATTGATTACATCACACTCCCACAAACCCGCCAAGGCAAGTCCCATGTGCTAACAATGGTGGAAGCAACCACCAGGTGGCTGGAAATATATCCCGTGCCCCATGCCACCGCCTGGAACACTGTCCTGGGCCTTGAAAAGCAAGTCTTGTGGTGACATGGCATCCCAGAAAGAATTGAGTCAGACAATGGGACTCATTTTTGGAACAACCTCATAGACACCTGGGCCAAAGAACATGGCATTGAGTGGGTGTGTCACATCCCCTGTCATGCACCTCCCTCCGGGAAAATTGAATGCTACAATCAGCTGCTAAAGACTACACTGAGAGCAATGGTTGGTGAGACCTTCATACATATGTATTTAGCAAAGGCCACCTGGTTACTTAACACTTGGGAGTCTACTAATTGACCTGACCCTGCCCAATCAAAACTTCCACGTACTGTAGAAGGAGATGAAGTCCCCATAGTGTGCATGAAGAATATGTTGGGGAAGACAGTCTGGGTTATCCGTGCTTCAAGCAAAGGCAAACCCATCCTTGGGATTGCTTTTGCTCTAGGACCTGGGTGCACTTGGTGAGTGATGCGGAAGGATGGGGAAGTCAGATGTGTACCTCAAGGGGATTTGATTTTGGGTGAGAATAGACAATAAATTAAATTGTATGATGTTAATTGCTAAATAGCCTTGCCATTGTATATTATCATTGCTACAATTGCTATATGCTATATCAAAGGTATTACAGTAAGAATCACCCAAATTAAGGGTGCCATGATGATGAAACCAGAACTGACTTCAGCAACCAGCACCCAGCAACTTCCTTGAAATTGACATCATCAAGCCGCAGACTGTGAGCATGGACCACATCAGATATACCAGCTGCGAGCTCTGGATGCGACATGCAAAAATCTGACACCACACACCATCTCTCCTGCCCTGAAAGATGGTTACAACAGATGGAGCCCAAAGTCAAGGACTAAATGAACTCAACGGACATTTTAGAGGGATGGCCTACAGACTAAGGAAATTATATCTGTGTATGTGTGTGTGTATATATATATATATCAATCAAAGACAGGGAAAGCAGTGGTGATTAATTGGAAGTGTAGGATCTGGGCTTGATGGTATAGAATAAGGAGTGGATAATATCCTGATTTTGGCTAGGATAGAGTTAATTTTCACAAGAAGCTGGCAGGGGACACAGCCAGGACAGCTGACACAAACTAGCCAAAGGGATATTCTATACCATATGACATCATGCTCAGCATAAAAGGGGACTAGTTGGGGAGGGGCGACGTGGCTCCAAGACCGGCTCTGGGAATGGTCTGAGTGTATAGAGTGTTGTCACCCATTTTGTATATTCTAAGTACTGTTGTTGTTATTTTCCTCTTCCTTTGCTGTCCCAGTAAACTGTCCTTATCCCAACCCACAAGTTTTACCTTTTTCTTCCAATTGTCCTCCCCACCCCACTGGAGGGAGGGTGCTGGGGAGGAGTGAGCAAGCAGCTGCGTGGTGCTCAGCTACCAGCTGGGGGTAAACAATGACAGAGACGTGGAAAACATGGCCTCTGTAGTCGTCAGGAATTTTTACAGGCCAAGGCCTGAGTGCATTCCTAAGAAAAATAAAACTGATAGGCCTTTCTTATCCCTTAATGTGCATCAGCCTATAACCTACTGTGTTTGTGGAAGGGGAGGTGGCATGTAGTTCTTTATATGAGGTTTATTAAGGTGGTTAGGTTAACTAGGCTTAACAGAACTTTTCTACTATACCTCATGCATCAGAAAAATTGCCTTCTGGTCAGAGCAGTGATATTCACTGCCTTTCCATAGGTCTGAGTTCAATGCCTTGATTCTATCCAAGCTGCTGCTTCTGTCCCCTGTTTTTCCAAGGCATGATTTTGGAGAGTTGATTCTGAAGCATTGGTACGGGGGTTGCAGACTGGTAGTGGCCAAAAGAAATGTCCTTGGATATGTTCATGGTTCTTGTCCCACATCTTCAAGACTGTGGCTTTCATCTTCTTGAATTTAATGTGGCACTGCTAGCTGGTCCTCTCATATCCAGTGGAAGTCACAAGGTTAACAGTTTCTTGATATTGCAACTGGATTACCATGCCACTGAAGAAACTTCATCTGCACAACACTGGTTCAGTGCTCCAAGTAGTCCATTGCTGAATTAAGAAGAAACAGGGAGTCCAACAAGGCAGGACAACAACAGAAGGTACAGCACGTAAGAAGGGAAAAGGACATTAAGACAGAAGTCTTGATGGAAGACAAAGGAGCAGCAGACAGGTGCAAAAATAAATAGAGGGCTGACAGTCATTGGCAAATAGGAAAGTGCACACAGAACTTAGTACTTCTCATAGTGCAAGAATCTAACTGGTATCATGAGAGCTCTAGATGCTTTTAGAGCCTTCTGTCAACATGTGTGTGTTTTGTATGCACAGTAGGACCTTGTGGAGCTGCATGCAACTTACTGGGAGCATAACAGTCCAAATCAGGGGCTGATGCATTTGGAGCTTCTTGCTAAGTTTTTTTCTCCATAGATAATTTAGTTCTCTTACATGAGAACTGCTCTGCAAACTGGACCATGGCAAAGTAAGTGTGGCTATTCAGGAGGATCATTTCACACCACCAATGCTGTGATCCAAAACATGAATGTGGATCTTCTCCTCCAGAAGAAAAGAATCTTTCTTCTTTTTGCATTGAATAATCTATAGTGCGAACCTTCCAGAACTGCTGATTACTAGCTCTAGTAAGACAGTCTCTTTACTGATCATTTAATATGCTTTGATTTGATGGAGATTCCAAAAGTAATTAACAAGTCCTTTTTGCTGAAACAGAGGCTTCTGAATATAGGATGGGGAGTTACTGGGATCAGTGTTTTATTTTAGCCCCACCGAGTAGGATGTTGGAAGGAAGAACCAGAGAAATGTAGACTTGCATTTTACCCGCAGCAGCAAAGCAGGTGTTCTGGTGCCTACCTGGTGATAATATAAAATGCACTGTGGCTTCATGTCTCACTTGGTTTCTTAAGATGCTCAAATGCTCCATGCAAGTAGTACTTAACTCTTTTTTTTCCTTCTGTGCAGCAATTTGTCTACCCAATCAGTTCCGATGTGCAAGCGGCCAGTGCATCGTTCTGAAGCAACAGTGTGACTCCTTTCCAGATTGCATTGACGGTTCTGATGAGCTTATGTGTGGTGAGATGTCTTTCCTTGAGATTCAAGTGGTGTGTTCAGGCATAATGTCCTATATCCCCATGCAGAGCCCCAGTCTTTCTTTTGGGAAAGCCCAGTAAATCTTGACCAAATACTCTCACAGTTGTATTTGGCTGCTAAATAGTCATGTTCTTCCATTGGTCTGTGTGGCAAAAGAGTGTGAGATTGCAGCATGGAATGGCAAGTCTGTAATGCTATTATTCTGGGTAATGCAAGAACAGCAGTAGTGAAGATGAACTGAAATTCCAATGTTACTTCAAGCTAGTTCTAAAATGCTATATGGCATACAACACTGCCTTGTTTAGGTGGGCCTTCAGATCTATACCCGGGTGGACCTGATTCTATTATGCTCAGTACCTTGGAGCTTGCAGAGCTGCTGCTAAGCTTGGGGTAGCTTTTAAAAATATGCAGCCCTGTCCACTGCAATTACAGGGTCAAGCTGGAGGCTAATTATGTGGAGGAACTAGCATGCAATGAGCAAGTGTCCACAAGACACCACAAGCTGGTCTCTTAAGGTGCAAGTAGGAAAAGAACATAAGGAGAGACCTTGATTTTTCTGGGCAAAATGTTACTTTGAATTCTCATGGCAGTAGGTATATGCAGGTTACAGACGCACTGATGGCAGTTGCTATATTAGTCCTTAGCGGGGTGTGTTATTTTGCAGTGCAAAGTGAACAGTAAAATTCACTCACTTGTGCTCTGCTTGCAATTTCTCTCTTTTTGCGCCATCAGGGTGACTAGTGCATGAAGTTTTCAGGCAATGGGGCAGAAAAAGGGAGCATTTAGTAGCTCAGGAGTGGTTTAGCAAAATAGTTGGAACACAGATGTGCTATCTGTTGGTAATTCATTCTGAACAAATACGTTGTGTTTATGTTTGTATTAAGCACTTTGCTTAATAATGTTGCCTATAGGACCTTGGCTAATTGCGAGGTTTTTAATGTCTCAGAGTCTTGTCAGGTTTTGAAGCACCAGTTGTCAGAAGCTGTGTTACTGCTGCGATGAGAGCAGAGGGCACCAGGTCTGGTCAGGGTAACCATGTTTCTTCCTTCCACCCTTGCAGTAGGTACAGCAAGGAAAAGTGTATTTCATGAGCATGAGTGGTGAAAGGTGCCCAAGTGGTGAAAAGGCTAAAAGAATAGCGACAAAATCTGTTTAGCTCTCCTGTCAAAAATTTCAAACAGAACATGCTTCTCATGATTCTCCCACTTCTTCCATTTAGCTCTCACCCAGTTCCCCCAATTCCCTGGATAATGTAAAGCCACCTCTTCCTTTTTTTTAAGTTTATTTTCTTTGTGCACTTGGCAAAATTTTGTGCTGCCAAGTTAATGCAGCTGTTTCCTGTTTGCACTTTGGGTCCAGTCCTGCAATTAGGTCTTAACTGATTTAAATGTGTCTTTATGTAGACATAAGACCATCTCCTCTGGAGTCTCTTTATGGAACAGAGCATTCTGTGGTTTCTTGCTTGACTGAGGGGAAGAACTCAAGTAGGGAATAAAAATGATTGCTACTTTCTAGATAAGGATCTTGCATTCAGAAGAAGCTAGGTTTAACCAAAATGAGAATTGTGTGTTTTAAATTAGCTAATTTGGGAACATGTTTTAATTTTGGCTTTGCTTTTTTTTCATATCATATCTGAACTAATCTGACTATGTGAAAGTTAGGGCCTTAGCTGACATAAAAGCTGTCATGCACTAGTAAGTATGAAAAGTAGATAAAGACTTTAAGTCAGAAATTAATTTTTGATGCTGAGCTGTTAAGAGTTTATTGGTATATCTTTATATTTCTGTTATCTTCCTTCTCAAATGTCAATTGTTTTTCATTCCCTTCCACTGAAGGGAATGAACCAAAACCACTGGAAAGAAATTTTATGAAGTGAAGCTTGAATCTTACATGAACCATTTCATTTCTTTCAACTTCATTAAGGAAGGAAGGGGTCTATAGTCTGATCTGAACATGATAGGCTTTGGCCAAGTTTATTTTTATTTTTTCACTTTATGAGTATATATATTTGTGTATGTAAAAAAATAAAATTATAAATGTGTGAGTCATGTGGGAAAATAATTTTCACTGAAGAATGTCACATATGCGAAAAACAGGTGTCAGGTTTATCTGGCAAGAATTTTGAATGTGTTACTCTCAATCAGAGGGGAGATCTGATATGTAAGCTCATCTCAAATACTGCAGCAGTGGGCTATACAAGGGAAAAATAAATAAGAAGTAGAAAGTATTTGAGATATTCTGGATTGTGTTTTCCTTCCATTTTGTAAGTTTTTTTTTTTTTTTTTAGAAAGCATATTTTAGGAAGGAAAAGTATTCTGTTTTAAGGCCTATATTAGCTAGGAAGACATCCACTGCTTAATACATATGGTGGCTTCCCTACTGGTAAAATCTTTTAATTTTTTAATGTTATTGCTAGCCCAGATGGCTTTTGAGAGAGCAGATTCCTCTCTGATTAAGAACTTGATGTTTCTAAGTATCCTATATCCTTAACCCATAGACTTTGTCTGGGGAAGAAAACAAAACTTTCTAGGCTGTTATATCAGGATGATAAGTAATCCTGTTATGAGATGAACTGCTAGACAGAAAGGCGAGTTCCTTGCTAATACTGCCTTATGTACCTGGAGAGGAAGAGGAGGCATGAAGTCTTGTGCGTTGAATCAGAATATATGGAGTTATAGACGCCTGAGTTTGATGCAGGTACTTTCAAAGACACTATGTGAATGACTGTAAGCTGACTGATTTACTGCATGAGCTCCAGGACAGCAATGTATATATTACCCCATGTTTAATGACCTCCTTTTTTTATTTTTCTCCTGTCTTTCCAGAAAAAACAAAGCCAGCCTCAGATGAGTCACAACCACACAGCAGTGCCATCGGTCCTGTCATTGGTATAATACTGTCACTTTTTGTCATGGGAGGAATGTACTTTGTTTGCCAGCGAGTGGTGTGTCAGCGCTATGCTGGGCCCAATAGTCCTTTTCCACATGAATATGTCAGTGGCACCCCTCATGTCCCTCTTAATTTTATTGCTCCAGGGAGTTCTCAACATGGCACTTTTACTGGTAAGGATGGAAAAGACCTTGCATCTAATCAGTACCATTACATTGTCTGGATTTGGAGTTTTACAGGTTATTAAGAGTGCTAGATGAGGAGTTGTCAAAGAGCAGAAATGAGGTGGTGTTATCTGCTCAGTGGTTTTGGTATAAATCTGTCATTTGGATCAGATATGCAAAAATTATTAGACACATTTCATTAGGCATCTTGCTAGATTTTCAAATTCAGTTTTTGAGCTAGTGTACATCTGTGCAGGTATCTATCTTTTTGATAGAAAAGCTACAGTATTTTGCCAGTGAAAACATCCTCTTTAAATAGTTCATTCTGGTGTATGTAATAAAGCCTGGGTTTTGCATGGTATTTCTTAGCTAAGGCCTGCAAAACACTACGAAGCATAGTGAACCAAATGCAATATTGGAAACTAAGAATACCTGTGCCGTTCAGCGTTCTAGTGAGAACTCTGTTGAGTTGTTCTTTGTGTCTTGTACTCAGATGTCCTTGTTTCTATCCTGTCCATCAAAGGTCTTTACACAGTTTTGTCCTGTCTGCTTGGGATGGATAAGTCATTACACAGTGGAAAGCAGCAGAGGAAAGAAGTGAAGCAGCTTAGTTTACTGTAATACAAAAAAGCAGGGGATAAACCTCCCTCCCCGAAGTTACAACAGCAAATGTGGAAGAACACAAGCAGTCTGTGTATGGTTTTGTAGTCTGACTGTTCATTGCCTGAAGCATAATGAAAACATCCCCTTTGGTTTAGCCCATCTCTGAGACAGCTTTTCTATTTGCTTTTGGACAAAGTATTTATTCAACCTTCATCTGTAAAACAGCAAAGCTTCTCTACCTCACAGAGGACTCAAAGCATCCATTTGGAGCAGTATCTGCAGCTATGATGCTGAGATGGAAGGAGGACTTGAAGTGTACATAAAGCTCAGGATATTCAGCTAATAAAGAACCCAGTAAACCTCATAGACATCAAAGTAAACACTTAAATGATGTACCTCAAATTATTTTCCAAGTGTAAAATATACTTTTCATAGAGGAAATAGCAAATCCTTAACTACAAAGCTCTGAGAAGAAAGAATATCTCTTCATATTGTTCAGGAAGCTGGAAAGTAAATGTTTGCCTGTAAATCTGCCAGACAGGGTCAGAATACAGGAAATCCGTACTTCGGAGTACTTGGAGTCTGCTTTTCATGTCAGCTGAAAATCAGATAGATGATAAAGACAAATGAAAAGATGTGGCACTTCTTCATATTTAACAAGTTTTTGAGATGTGCTAATTGTTTTTTTCTTCTAGCCATGGCTTTGAAGATAGCCAGATGCAACTTCGGTTTAGCCTTTCTCACACTTTAATGACTGTGGTCAGCTGTTCCTGCTTAAATTATGTTTTTATGGTTGTCAAAAGGTTTTTGTTGCAAGAAATAAAATTTGAGGATGAAATCATTCCAGGTGGAATCTTTGCAGAGTGTTTTAAATTGGACTTCGCACTAAAGCTTTTTCAATTAAAGCAAGTATCAGTGGTTTACATCTGTACCTCTATAGGTGCTAAACTAAGCTGTCATTTTGATTCTCATTTATATTTTTTAGTTTTTTTCTAATCCATATTGCTGTGACAAGTTACAACAGCTGAAAATATTACCATTGATGTTAATTCTCAAGAAAAGACATTGGTTCCTAATACCATGGCATTTCCAAAAAAAGATAAATAGTCATGAATAATGATCATAAATAGTCACTCTGCTTGTAATAAATATTTCCTGCATCTGAAAAAATTCTGTAAACTTCCCAAACTAAACTCTCCCATTAGCACTGAATAATGTGACAGGAAGAAGCTGAAAATGTATTATCTGATTTAAGTGTATATTAGAGTAAAACAGACTGGAGAATGTTGTCTTCCCTTTTCCTGTCACCCAGGTTTCCTTCCTTTTGCTTCTGCTGATTTTCAGTTTAAGCAGTGATTTTCTTCAATAAAAATAATTATTTTTTGCTGTTCTTCATGTACTTGCAATTGAATTTCTTTGGATGGAAATGAAAACATTGGAGCTCTCTAGCTTGTTTTTCTTGGCCAATATATAATGGGTTTTTTTGCAAATGCTTGTGTTTGTTTAATTGGAAAATTTCTTAGTTAATGAGTTGGGTGACAAGTTTGGATAAACTATTCTGGAGATTCCTTTCTCAGCAGAGTGTAAGAGCAGGTTGTGAGGAGTTAAGTGCTGTGGTGAGATAATAGGTGGTCTGGGAGTGAGATATTTTCTTTATAGAATATATTGTTTCTTGTAATCCTGAAGTTTTTAAATAAACACTGTTCCCAAAGTGACAATGGGTTTGCCAAACTGTGGATTTATTTTCTGTTTTGCATTGGTAGGTAAAATTGTGGTTTACCTAACCTTGTTTTCCTGTCTCACTGCAGGCATCTCTTGTGGAAAGTCCATGATTAGCTCCATGAGTCTCATGGGAGGAAGCAGTGGTGCCCCCTTATATGACAGAAACCATGTTACTGGAGCCTCTTCGAGTAGCTCATCCAGCACTAAAGCCACTTTCTACCCACAGGTATGTCTTGAAAATATACCTGTGAATTGGATATCTCCCACTTCTGAAGAAAAGGAAGATGAAAATTTGTGCTACTAAATAGAATGTTAATAATGGTTGTTCTTGGGTTACTGTTTATGATGTACAGGCCCAGTCCGACACGCACTGAACTTCGCAGACGGGCTTTGTTGAAGTTAATCGGGATTACACAATGCTATATGGTGTCTGAAATGTTTTGTTATTAGAGTGATACCCAGGTTGTTCCTGGGCACTTCTGTTCTTCCGTCTTGACTCCTTTGGAGTTGCCACCTTTGTTCTTTGTAAACTCTGATTGCATTTTGCACTTTATAATGCTGCAGGCACAACATGGAGTAAAAAGACAAACTGCGGCAGGACTGTAATGCAAATGCATGTGAAATAAGCTTGGCTTGCTCTTTACGTAGTGTCGATTGTTGATTCAGAAAACCAAGTGTGTGCACTGGGAGAAAACAGAGGTTTTCAGCAGAGGTTACTTTGCCTGGGTTTTTTCAGCTGTAATTTAGCTCCACTTCTGGCTTTTAACTATTGGAAGTGACAGAATTTTAGTCCCCATATCAGAGTTTCCTAAATTCAAAGATGTTTAGAATTAATGGAAATGATTCTCTAAGAATATGTAGGAGAGACATACAAAGATTACTGTTTGCCAGCATTTTGTCAAATGATAGGTTTTTTTCCTTAGTGCTTCTGAGCAGTACATACATTCTGTTCACACAAGCTTGCAGAGGCAATCTGCTAGTTATTGAGGTGATTTTTCAGTAGTATTTGATCAGGAAGCCCACATACTGTGTGGATATATGTGCATTTGTGTTTACATATAAACTGTTATGCTATGGGCATTTTAATTGATAGTGTTTTAACCAGTAGCAAATGTGCACTCTCTTTAAGAACAGAGGTGGAAAAGAGAGGCTTGTGAGTTTATCTATTGATAAGGTAAAATTGATTATTTATTTTTTGCATTACCTTCTCAATGAAGCTGTCAGGAAGCTAGTCACAGCTAGCAGACATTTGGAACTCAGCAGCCCACCTAACTCAGCTTGTCTCATGCTTCACCAGTGTCTCTGTTAACATGCTGAACAATTTCATGCTAGTAACTGATTGATGTGTCAGTGCTACAGTAAAAAGGATGAACAAAAAAAACCTTAGCTGAATTTATATAAAAAAACCCCCTTAAATAACTCTTGAAAGAGGAAAGAAGCTGGCAGCTGAGCACCACGCACCGCTGGCTCACCGCGCCGCTGGCTCACCCCTCCCCCGGCAGGATGGGGAGGAGAACGGGAAAACAACGGCAAAGCCTCGAGGGTTGGGATAAGGACAGTTTACTGGGACAGCAAGGGAGAGGGAAACAATCAACAACAGTACTGATAACAGATATTCACAATGGGTGACAACAGAAAACAATTTACCGATCCAACAACGGACCAACCGACCAACTGGATGCTCGGCCTGTCCCGGAGCCACGCTGAACCCGCCCCTGCCCAACTAGCCCCCTTTTATGGTGAGCATGATGTCAGGTGGTATGGAATAGCCCCCCACCAGCTTGGGTCACCCGTCCTGGCTCCTTGTGAAATTAACTCTATCCTTGCCAGAACCAGGACAACCTGAGAACCTGGCGACAGGCATCCTGGCTGTATTTAATCTGAACACGAAGTGGTGTTGATGCAGCCTAGGGTGCTAGTAGGAGAGAATTCAGAAGTAGCATGCAGTGCTCCTCCAAGGAAGAGGATTTCTGGAAGATACTCTTGGGGCGATTACTCTTCAATTGCCACAGCTGGCCATGGGTGATTTTCAAGCTTGTCTCCCCTCACATGAATCTAGATGCAGGGCTTGTCAGTATTAGTAATGATGAGCTCAACTCAATGGCCAAGAATCATTTTGCTAGATGCTGCACAGTGAAGACCAAACAATGATCTCCACTCCAGTGATTTTACAGTACTATTATGAGAGAAGAGCAGAGGCAGAGGAAGGATGCTATCATGGTCACTGTGGCAGGCCATGGCTTGGCAGAATGCCCAGGACAGGCTGTTTACAAGATGCTCACATCAATAGCAAGGCCCTACCACCAACAGCAATGCTGTAATTTTCCACATAGAAAGGGATGAGGTTCTCTCCTTGTTTATAGGCCAGTGTCCTGCTGGCTGTGTCAGGGGTT